TCTTCTTCTTCTTCTTCTTCTTCTTCTTCTTCTTCTTCTTCTTCTTCTTCTTCCACTACTCTCAGGAGGGCGTCTCATCGTTTATACTGACCAAGGGTTCTTAATAGTTGACCCAACAGCCATACCATACAGGGCACAGGGCACCCCTGTCCTCCTCCAGCTATATGGTGTTAAAGCATCTTTATAGTAAACAATGTGCATTTGAGGACATCTGATTTTTCCGCTCTTATTACAGGCAAGAGTTATCTGAAAAGCAAAAAAGACGAACAATGAGGTATGTCATATTCTCCACACACGACACACCCTGCTGAATATAGTAGAAAAATACAATACTCTGACCACTTAAAACGACACGAGACCATTGGGAAAGAGGTGCTTGACGGAATGGTGTGGGACAGGAGAGCCAGGCGAAGGGAAGGAGTAACATGGATGGACAACATATAAAAGACGGTGTCTGGCATGGATGTTATAGAAGGTGCAGCGGCAGCTCGCGACCGTGAAAGATGTAGGGTCATAATACGTCAGCCTATGAGTCAGAGATGACACCTCCAGGTATCCAGGTATCCAGGTATCCAGGTATTATGAACAATGTACATTTCGGGACGTCTGATTTTTCCCCTTCTTGTTACCTGTGTACCGGTACGCTGTGGTCCATGTCAAAGGAATAAAAGCAGTGCTACATCATTCGTTGTGCATGGCCTGAGCCTGGAAGGAATGGGCGGTTAATGTTACAATTAGGCCCTTCACTGTCCCTTGCAGATAACGCAAGACCAGTTCTTGAAACGAAACGCTGCACTCTGTTGTTGCTGTTGTTGATGATGATGTTGTTATTGTTGTTGTTATTGTTGTTGTTGTTGTTGATGATGATGATGATGATGATGATGATGATGATGATGATGATGATGATGATGATGATGAATGATGTAGGTTTGTTGTTGTTGTTGTTTTTTGTTTCAGCTTTTTATTTTTTTATTTTGTGGGGGGTTAATGTTTTTTTTCTTTTTTTATGTTAGTGTTTTGGATAGCTTAGGGTTTTTTGTGGCTTTTCTATTTGTTTGTTTGTTGTTTTTTCTTGGGGGGGGGGGTTGGGGGGGTTGTTTTGTTTGTTTTTTGGTGTGTTTTTTTTTTGGGGGGGGATATTATATTATCGAGTATCTCCGTCTATCTGCTGGTTTGCAGCCTAGGTTTGCCCTTGCAGCATGGTCGATGTAGCCCGCCTTATAGATGTTCTAAACTGTACAGGTAATTATAATTGTAGAAATTTCACTCAATCTTTCGAAACAAGCCAGGTCATCTAAGACGCAGCAGGCTGCTTCAACCCTGCTTGTAAGTGTCAACCCAGATTGAAAGAAATAAAATGTCCCAGCAGAAAGACCGAGACACTCGATAAGAATTCTAACCTCTCAGAAAACTGAACACTCAATCTTCCTCATGCGATGGCGAAGCACCTAACCGCTTCGCCATAGACCCCAGTTCGGTCTAAATGATGTCCATTGGGACATAAAACTTTCCATTTTCGGTTACAACCACCCTGGAATGGAATATTCGACTCGCGGGACTTTGCGGCAGGGAAGGGCCAGGCCAGGAGCTCATTTTGCTTAGTCAGTTGGCACCACGCTTGACTACAGAGCGTATGGTACGGCCCCGGTTCGAATCCCACGCTAGGTGTACCCCTCTGGGCGGTGCCACTGACTGAGGAGTCTTTAGGCCATTCCCAAAGGGGGGACATTTCTCGTTCTAATGCAAAGTAGAATTGTAGATGTGCAGATCCAACAATGTCATGCTCATAAGTGTGCCTGAACTACAACAGGGAAACTGCTGCTTTTTCTTTCCTAATCCTTACTATCGTCATTTTCCTCTACTTCTTTTGTATATGTTTGTCACACTCTTGTGACCCGCTATTTCCGGTGTGCCTTGATAGTCGAAGCAGACTTTGTGCTGTTGAAGCTAGAGAGGTGAGCAGAGTAAGTCTGATTCCCTGTATGGACTCCTCTGTTGACATCCACCCCTTGGCGCTCATATGACCTTATGCAGTTGCGAGCGCCGTAAAACCTCTACTAAAACAAACAAGGTTAGGTGTTCTGTTCTTGAACTCGAGTCGTTTTGCGGAGGGAGTTTTCAAGATTCCTAACCTATGTGACTCGGTCTTATCGGAGATGGACGTCTTCTTCTTCTCGATGGCACCACACTTGAAGTCCGGTATCTATCATATACAGAGCCGTCCTGCTAAGCTCCTCTATCGGCCCGTATAGCTTCACTTGTAGTGTCAGTGGGGTTAGCCACGTTTCCTGTCCCAGGGCTCTGTGTGTCTTGCGGTGCTGAAGGATGTTTTCTACATTTTGGTTCGCCTCTCCACACTGGCATTTTGTTATTTACTGGTTTAAGACATATGTACACGTGTTGTCTCAGTCTTTTGTGTTGTGTTCTTAGTGGTGATGGACGTCAAATTTGGAGATCCCGCTTCAAAAACTAATAGTGTTGATAGGGGTGCTAAACCCATACATTTACACTGAGGACCAGGCCGCAAGGTGACCATCATGGCTGGTGCTTTCTATAACCACTAAATTAAGAACAAAAGCTACTCACAAAACTAAAACACGATCTTCTTCTTCTGCTCCCGTAAATGTGTCATCCGTTGGGTCGCCTCTGACAGATGACAACAAATCTTCTCGACTACTCGCAGCTCTCTGCTTTCCTCAGTGTCCCGCAGCCCCATGGCTGTCCATTCCCGGATGTTATCCTCCCACCTCTTCTTATGTCTGCCTCTCCTTCGTCCTCCCTGATAGGAGACATGTATACGATGCAGTTATCTAAAAGAAAAAAAAATGATGTATGGCTCCATAAGATGGGATGCGCTGTTATGATATGAGTCTTAGATGCACTCTAATGTGAGTGATTTCAGTGCACGCAATCACATTATTTGCTTTTATTTCATGAAATTTGGACTGGGCGTAGTTTATATATTGAAGTCATAATAAAATTGTTAAAATTCCTTCCCTGCCTGTCACGACCAGTATGGGCTGAGCTGAGAGGGATTCATTGTCCCAACAGAAAGACCGAAATACTCGTTAAAATGGCTCTCCACACGAGAATCGAACTCGGATCTTCTGCGTGCTACAGTGAAATGCCTAATTGCTACACCACATAAGCACGTTGTATACTCAAACCACTATATATCATATACAGAGAGAAAGAGAGCGAGAGAGAGAGAGAGCGAGAGAGAGAGAAAGAGAGAGAGAGAGAGAGAGAGAGAGAGAGAGAGAGAGAGAGACATACAATGGAGTATGCTTAAACCGAACACAATTAATCCCAAAAAAGAGGTATACTGAAGAAATAAAACAAAATGCATGCTCTTTTTCCCCTATCTTTCTCAGCAACCTCTGTACACCGAAAACCCAGCTGAACCCAAAAAAAAATCCCCCTGTCCTTCAGATTTGGTTTAAGCAGACGCCACTATATGCATAGGCTTAGGGAATTCATTGGAGAAGACAGCAAATTTTTTGTTTTAAAAACTATGGCTTGAACAGAACGAAAAAAATGTTAACGTGAAACGTATTCAAGTTCAAAATCGACCCCAACCTCATTTCTGTGAACTAAATGTAGATCTACGTCGAGAAGAGACAGACAGGGTGGGAGAGAGAGA